CACTGGGGAGCACTTGGAGGCCCTTTGGGGTCACTGAGGGGCACTTTGAGGTCACTGGGAAGCACTTTGGGGTCACTGGGGAGCACTTGGAGGCCCTTTGGGGTCACTGAGGGGCACTTTGGGGTCACTGGGAAGCACTTTGGGGCGGGCGGGGGGGGCGTGGCCGCGCGCGCCCGGAGGGCGTGTTCCGCCCGCTCGCCTCTCATTGGTGGAGCGTGTTTAGGCGGGAAGGGGAGCGCTTCGGTAAGCGAGGGGATTGGTCGGGGCGGAGGCAGGGGCGAGTAGCCCCGCCCCTCTCTCGCGATAGTTCGCCATCTTGGGGGGCTGAGGGGAGCCGGCGGCGGCGGCGGTAGGAGGGGTCGGCGGCCAGCCCGTCACGGACCCGGTGCCGCCGCTGCTCTGCGCCGTGGGGCGATGCCTGTCCCGTGCTCTTCCAGGCGGTGAGTGCTGGGAGTACTGGGAGATACGGGGAGTCATTTGGGACACTGGAGGGCGCTGTCAGGTGCTGGAAGGCTCAGACTGTGCGGGGAAGCACTTGGTACGCTAGGGGGATCACTGGGAGGCACTTTGAGCGCACTGGGGGTCACTGGGAGGCGCTTTGGGGTCACTGGGCGGCACTTTGGGTGCACTGGGAGGCGCTTTGGGGTCACTGGGAGGCACTTTGGGTGCACTGAGGGACATTTGGAGGCCCTTGGATGCACTGGGAGGCACTTTGGGGTGACTGGGGGGTCACTGGGAGGTGCTTTGGGGTCACTGGGGGGCACTTGGAGGCACTTAGAGATCACTGGGGGTCACTGGGGGTGGGAGATGGCACTTTGGGGGGCACAGCACCCCCCCCAGAGCACGAGGACACCCCCCTGCACCACCGGGGAGGGTCATGGGGAGCACCCTGGGGTCCCACAGCCCCCCACGTACCCTCCAGAGCGTGAGCACCCCCTCCTCCCTGGCCATCCTCACGAGGGCATCGAACACGTTGTGGTACCCGCGACGCTCGCCGGGGGGTAGCCTGGGATTCGGGACAAAAAAAGGGCATTTTGGTCAAAAAAGCAGGCTGGGGGGGAGGCAGATGGGGGGCACAGAGAGGGCTGGGGGCTCACCTGCCATCGGCTGTCATGCGGATGAGGGCCACCTCTGCCGGGGTCCCCACGAAGGCCCCCGCCGCCCCTGCTGTCATGCCCATGGCTGCCTTGGCCAGGAACGGAGGGGGGGTCCCGTCAGCCCCCCCAAAACGCTCCAGGAGGACGCTGTAGATGCCCAGGCGGGTGGTGGTGTAGGTGGCCTGGCGCAGCAGCCCCGCCGACAGCCTGGAGGGACACAGAGAACGGGAGCAATCCCAAAAACGGGGGGCAGCAAAGACCTCGAGCCTGGCGGGCGTTTTGGGTTTTGAGCTTTTGGGCGAGGCGGGGGGGGGCTGTCTCCCGTTAAATCACCCCTGCAGCATGAGCGTGCAGGTTTGGGGGTTCAAGAGGGGGTCCAGGGGGGTCCATACCCCGTGTAGATGCCCCTGAGCCCCTCGTGGCGCAGGATGGAGCCCAGGGCGTGCAGGGACGTGCGGTACTCGCGGCCCTTGGCCCCGGCCCCGCTCAGCTGCATGCGGTTCTTCACCAGGTCCAGCGGCTGCACGAACACCGTAGCCCCCATCCTGAAAGAAAACCCCCAAAATTAACTCACAGCCCCCCCAGATCCACCCAGCCTGGGCTGGGCCAGGAACTCTGAAGGAGCTTTGGGGATTTATGGGCAGGGGGCACAGGGAGGGTTTGAGGGGAGCGGGATGGGGTTTGGAGAGGCGGATTTTGAAATGGTTTTGGGAGGACGATTGGTTGCCGTGGGAGGGTTGGGGGGTCTGAAGGGGGTTTGGGGGGCGCTTGAAGGGATTTAGGGGCACTTTGAGGTCACTGGGAAGCACTTTGGGGTCACTGGGGAGCACTTGGAGGCCCTTTGGGGTCACTGAGGGGCACTTTGGGGTCACTGGGAAGCACTCTGGGGTCACTGGGAGGCCCTTTGGGGTCACTGAGGGGCACTTTGGGGTCACTGGGTGGCAGTGAAGGATGTCTGGCTCTACCAGGGGCAATCTTGCGTGCATCAGTCAGCAGCAGGGTCACTCGGAGCCCCCCTACTCAAACTGGCACATCCCGCTGACCTCTAGTGCTGGGTCTAACTGGGAGTCACTGGTGAGGTGCTGCACCCACCCCCTCCCCAGTTTGGGGGTACCCCTGAGGTGTTGGGGACAGCAGAGGGCACGCGGTGGCAGGGATGACACAGGTGGCAGCGTGCTACAGGTGTCACACCTGGACACGGAGGGGGGACAAGGACGCTGTCCTGCAGGATGTGGGGGTCACCCACAGGGACACAGCCACGTGGGGACCCCAACGCCTGGGTCCATCCGTGCTGGGTGAGGGGACAGGGGGAAGGACGGTGCCACCCGCCCCACGGCCCAAGCCCCGGTACCCCAATTCCTGCCGTGGGGCAAACGCGGGCCCTTCCCCCCTTCCGTGAGTCACACGGGGGGTGAGGGGGGGACAGGAAGCGCCAGAGCCACCACGTTGTCCTTATAAGGACTCGGCAGCACCGGAGCAGCTTCCTGCAGCCCGTCCTGCTGCACATCTCCTGCTGCACCCCACAGCACCTCCCACATCCCCATCTCTGCCCTTCTTCACCCCGTATCAACCATCCCAGCACCTCCCAGTCCCCACAACCTGCCCGAACATCCAGAGTTCCTGCCCCCGATTCCCCTCGTTCCATCCCAGCTGACCTTCCCCCCTGCCAGTGCAGCCCCCCAATAAAGCCTCTGCCCCCCAACCTTGCCTCCTGAGCGTTGGGAGGGGTGGGGGGGGGGCAGCGTGGGGCGTGTGCTGAGGCGTCACCCCCGCCCCAGCGTGGACTTTGTCCCCCCGGGGCACGGCAGCACCCTTGGACCCGGCTATCCGGGGTGGCCTCCACCCTGGGCGGAGGACAGAGCCGCACCCCAGCACCCCGAAACGCAGCGACTTCCCCACAAGGGCACTTTATTGCTGCCGGCAGCGGGGATTGGGGGCGGGCA